CTCATTTATATGTCCAGGTTATGGTGCTGGGGATTGTCTCTGAGATCAGCCATGGGAGCCTCAGGGAATGGCTGAGAATTAAATATGAGCTTCCAGTTTTATGTTCTAGCTCTTCTCACCTCGAAAGCCAACAATGCTGCATAGTCAAGCGACTTCAGTTGAGGACTTAACATATATTCTTAGGTCCCTTAGCATGTGGAACTGGACACCATTTTACGTGAGTAGCTTAAACCAGTAACTTTCACACTACCTTTACTGATATGATTTAAACACTGATACAGTCTAGTGTGTCTCAGATGGCAGGTTGTGATTGCTCAAGCAACCCAAATCGGTTTGTTGGGTTTTGTTTTTGCCTTTTTTTTTTTTTTTTTTTTTTTTTTTTTTTTTATATATGGAGGGGGTGGAGGGGTATCAGATGGCAGCAGTAATTCAGCAGCTCAGATGGGGAAGTGATATCTGTAATTACTGGTTGCAAATGTTTACGCTATCTAGGATACTGCTGACTCTCTTTAATTGCTGGAAGAGCTTAGTTCCTGCAGAGCAGGAATTGAACATAAATGCCTGTAACAGCCATTTTTGCTAGCTCTTATTCTGGTGCTTTGTGGATGAAAGTCCATTGGGAACTGGGAATGGGCATCAAACAGCTTGTTTCCCCTTGGCTTGCAGCTGGTGATCCACGGGAGGTGATGCCCCAAAACCCAAACTCCCCTCTGTGCCTCAGCCTACCTGCCTGCGGGTGATGGGGCTGACGGAGCCGGTCCCAGCTCACCGCCCCGGGCCTGGATGCACAGCCTTGTGTGGGGAGAGTGGCTCAGCCACCAGTCAGAGCGTCTTACAAATACACCCCGGGTGCTCTCGGCTCTTCCAGGTGCCGAGGTGGACATGCCAGGAGCGAAATTCCGTTTGCCACAGCTGATGGTGCAATCAGGCTCGGGCGCGGTGGCACATCAGGTGCTGCCGGAACACCCCTGGCCTGCACGTCAGTGCAAGGCAAGAAGCTCCATCTGAGAGTTGGGTAACTTAATATTGCTGGTAATAATGTAAATTATGCGGGTAGGTGACTGCTGGCCTCCCCGGCACCACAGGGAAATGGCAGGCTGCGCCACAGCCAGGGTGCTGTTTGCGCTGCGGCCACAGAAATGCTGTTACAGGGTCTTTAGCCCCTTTTTTTTGCCAGGTGAAGCTGGCGGAGGAAGGCCCGAGGTGGGGACGCCGGCTCTCCCTCAACTTCCCAGCGGCGGCGAGGACCAATCTGCGCTTAATTTCGCCCAACCCGAGCCGGAGGAGGCAGCCGGGGCCCGCGTCCCCGCTGAGGGGGCCGAGTTCCCGCCGCGCTGCAGACGCCGCCCGCCGCCGCCAGGTGGCGCCCGCGCCGCGCCGCGCGCCCTCTGCTCCGCGCGTCGAGGTGGCGGAGCCCCCTCAGTCACCCCCCCACACACACACACCCAAAATCATCCTGCGGGGGGGGGGGGGGGGGGGAGCCGCCCGCCTTCGGGGCGACGTCAAGCACTTTAATCTTGACCATAGGACCCGATTCCGCGGGGTTTCGGGCGTAATTGCTTTCCCTCCACGCGTGATGTGGGCCGCGGGAGTCGGTGCACGGAGTTTTTAGCCCTGTCACAGATGGAGGCCCGCCGTCACCGCTGAGGCTGTTTGAAGGGGCAGGCGGCGGCTGCCGAGCAAGCGGCTCATGCTTATTTCTCACTTGTTAGTACGTTACCGCCGTGCGTGGTCGAGAATCGTACATTTGTCTTCCTGCCACTGCTACTGCTGAATTGCAGGGAAGAATATAAAAAATCTTGGAAAACCTTTTTCATTGTATAGTTAAGAAGCTCTTCGGAAATCACTGTTCGTGCCAGAAACTTGGTTTGGGGTTTTCTTTCCAAATCCACTGTATATCTGCCTGGCTTGAAAGCCCCAAACGGAGAACACGGAAGCAGTTGCGTGTGTTAAGCTGCACTGAACTCGGGGAGAGGGCGTACGGATTCCCCAACAGCTTCCAGGCTCTTGTAAAGCAGTGACTTTATCTCTAAAGTGTTATCCCTATGAAAAAAGCAATGCTTCCTGCTAAATTGGGCTAGTACGTAACTCCTGACACCCTGCCGTGGTGGGAGCAAGGAGCTGGGCAGGTGGTGAAGGTTTCTTCTTCAGCTCTCGGTTTTGGCCTTGGATCTCCATGTCTTCTCCCCTGTGCTGGCGGGGATCACAGGGGAGCCAGGAGGAATGGTAATGATGTTGAGTAAAACTCATGTTTTTTGGTGACAGGTGCAGCAAGGAAATGCCTATGGCCAAAAGTACATCATTGCCTTAATGAGCAACAATAACATGCATCACCTCACTGCTAAGTGTCTTGGTGCCCCTAGTGAGTTGCTCCTGGGAAGAAAAGGTGGAAAGGGGAAACTTTCCCATTAGGAGAAGGGATGGATCTGCCAAGGTGTGGGATATCTTTATGTTTCTTTGCCTCAAATCCAGTGCTTTCTGGTGTCAGCTATACTTCTGTGCTGCTCATCTGCTGTGTGATCTCCTGGAGACAGAGCCAGAACAAGGTATCGCATGGGAGACCAGCTAGAGATGGGGCACTGCCACCCCTGAAAGCCCTCTCCAAGGAGGAGGCTCCTCATGCAAACTACCAGGGGCTGAGGCGGTGCGTCCCTCGCAAGGCCGTTGTCCCAGGGATGAGCAGTGGTACCTCTTGTTCGAAGCTGCAGCTGGACAGGGTGCGGGTGAGCTGGACATGTTGGTGTCTCCAACCCTGTGGTTGTCACTTGTATGAGTACACTGGGGCAAAGGAGAACACAGCCATATAATACGTAACAGTTCAGTGCAAGGGCTAAGTGTAAATCTCAGGAGCTCGAACTCTCAGTCCCTGTCTGTGACCTTTAGGAACCATTCCAAGTGCTGCTGCACAATGAAAGACTCTTTCCACAGTATTTTTACCTTGACTGGAAGAAGCAGACTTTACCCAGAAATTTTCTAAAAGAGGGAAAAAAGAACCCTGGCCTGTTTGTGTGGTATTTCTAAGCCCATCTCCAACACTCCACGAGGGACAGGGTTAAACAGATGAAATAGGATGCTGTGCATTAAAATTGCAGCTGAAACCTACTATCGCTCATTATAGCCATAGTATTCTGCACTGCTCCTGACAATTGAGGGCTAAGGAGAAAGCACATGGAAAATTGTAGAACAGCCATCTAAAACACTTAATGGGACAGCTGTGACAAAAATGAATTGCAAAACCCCACTTTTCCCTCTTTCTGGTGGTTGTGAATGACCATCACCAGCAGCAGCTGAGGTACACAGAGCTGAGGGACCCCAGCACCAAACCCAGTGTCCCAGTGTATGACCTGCTATCCCAGCTGGAGCATGGAGCTGCGTGCCCAGGCAACAGCCCTCTGTAGTGTGCCTTCATTTCTATCTTTGCCCAGTGCCCTACAGAGAAAAGATGAACATTGTTTATCACTTTAAAAAAAAAAAAAAAAAAAAAAAGTTTTGGTAGAGCATGTAGAAATGGGAGCCCAGCTCTGTTTTCCAAAAGCCTCAGAGAAAAGACATGCCTCGCTACTTCTAAATTAGATCACAAATTTTCTGGCTGATGGCAGCGTCTTAGCGTTCACCCTGAAGGCAAAGATCTGAACAAATTACGTTTTACTATCATAGGTTCATGTACCCGTGCTGCATTCCCACTACAGGCAGAGGAAAGTACCCACGTGAAATGCGGTGGCTTTGGGGAACCCAGAGGAATTACTGTTCTTGGGAAGGTGCAGTGGTGAGCAGCAGGGGAACCGTTACTCTGCATGGGTGGTCGACAGTCTGCGGCACTTAGCACGTGTCACCAATTTGGTGAAATATAATACTCTGGGGGAGAAAAGGCATGTGATGGATATGTGTGCTGCAATCTGGAATCACTCATGTAGTTTATTGCCAGGCCCTTTATTCAATCAAATTCTTCATAAACACGGGAAGCGCTGATGTTGACATATGCTATCTACTGCATCGATGGGTGTGCTTTGCATCTCTTCCCTTGTCAAAAGCATCGTCATCAGCCTGAGATGTGTTCCAGCAACGCTGAGTGATTTTGCTCACGGGTCTCACTCGCTCCTTGCTATGGACATGCAGCTCTTGCTGATGCTCATACATCAAAAGCAGGATCAGACCCTCAGGAAGAACAAGGTGACACTTGTGAAAAAAGAGGAACAGATGCAGATTCGTTTCTAGTCCTGGCTCTGAACTCTTTCTTTGTTCCTCTAATTGATTGTTTGCTACCAATGTTTTCTGTAATGAGGGTGTTTCCTGAGCTGGAGGCAATGACACTTGTGCCCTTAGTCAGTCTCAGCTCAATAAGCTGCTTGAGCTCTGCACAGGTGTCAGAGTGGACCTGGGACACCCACAGACCCAGACTGTGGGGCACATTGCCTTCAGCTCCCAATGCTGCAGATTGCTGCAGAATTCAGGTATGTTTGATTTTATAGGCATTTGATGCTGCTGACAGGAGAATGCTAAAAATTAAGGAGATGGATGCACCCAACCTGGGCAAAAAAAATATTTGTTGTTCTGCGCAGCAACCCTCACTGGAGAATATCAGATGTAATTATGTGTACCACACTCCTGGAAAATAACTTCTTCCTGCTCCAACAGCTGCTCCTGTGAGGCATAATCCTCAAAATACACTTTCTGCAGGGCTTTGCCCCTCTCTGTTGCTCATTCCATGTATCACACAAGACTTTGTCTTCACTAGCACAAACGTGTTCTTGAGCTGATACAAGAGGATATCCTTACTGGGGGACGAAGCAGTGCAGGGTCTTCAGAAGAACCTGTAGATAGCTATGAATGCTTTGTTCCCTCTCAGGATTGAGTTTGGCCACATGAATACAATAATAACCTAGGTCTAGGCTTAAGGCTCTTGGCCTGTTTAGTTGACCTGATTCAAGAACAAATTTTTCCCCTATTGAAGACATAACTGAAAACTTCTCTCACTTTACCTCTTTTCATCCCTCCTCCAGGTAGCTATGACCAGGATGGCTTCTCTGCAAGTCTGTGACCCCAAGGTCCTCACCAGCTCCCCGGAGCAGCTCGGTTCTCACAGATCCGTGTAGGAGTACTGCTTGTCCTGGTGAGCTGGTGCATCCAAGTCCTGCCCTGAACCTGCTGGGAGACATCCCTGTTCAAGAGGCGTTTTCATATATAGGAAGGTAGTTGTGGCTGTGGTGTATTACATAGGCTGGTAGAGGAATAGTTCAACTTTTATATTTAAAATAGAGAGGGTATGTAGTAACTTTGCCCCCCTGCCCTGCCCCTGTGCAGCTGTGTAAGTGTGTGTCTGTGTGCACAGGAACGAGATGTCTTGTTATTTTTTACAGGGAGGCAAACTATTGTTGCAAATGTCCATGAATAATCCCAAATAGCACTGATCTCTGAGGTTTTCTGTTTTGTTTGTTTGTTTGTTTTTGTTTGTTTGTTTGTTTGTTTGTTTTGGTTTTTTTTTTGTTTTGTTTTTTCTTAATATGGATGGGCTAGGGACTTTCACAACTAAACTTCGAAGGTTAAAACTAGTGAAGTCAGCAGGAAGACATGTGATTTTAACCTTTGGCTATAGTTATGTAAACCGCTGAAGTTCATAAAGTTTGCACTGGAATTACAAAAGGTTTGTGTTTTATGATTGTCAGAAGGAGATAAACTTTGAGTGTGGGGATGAAGAGAAAAACAGCTCAGGAAAGTGTTCTTCAGAGTGCTTGTGAGTGCACTTACTTCGTGTGAATTTTTTTCATGGCAAATTATATACAAATAACTTGACCTTCTCCAGGACTCCCCTGTTGTGTAGGATGGTGCCCTTCCTTATCTGTGCATTGATGAGAAACAAGGCATAAAGGCTGGTGGTGCTGGGGTGAGGACCCTACCAGTCACTGTTGTGTCCTCAGGGCTTGCTCAGTGGGGAAAACCATCTTTTGGCTTTTCTGAGGGCAGTTCAGCTTCTGTACATCCCTTCCAGAACCTCTTCAGGACATCTCCAGATAGGAACATCCTGGAAATATTTGCTTTCCTATACTCAAGTTTTCTTTTCCATGAGGCCTCCAAAGATCAGAGCAAGAGACATCCAGTTGGGAAAGTATTGCACTCAGAGTGCAACATGCGTGCTCTGTGGTCACAGTCTGGCAGATTGCATACATGCAGCATGGCCCCAAGAACAAGGGATGTGGACTCACAGCAACATTTGTTTGAGAAGCTGGACAAAATATTCCTGCAGTAACACTGAAACTCATTTTGCTGACAGTTGCCCATGTGTCTGGCCCTTCCGTGCACAGAGCTTGGCCAGCACCTAGCCAAGAGGAACGTGCTGAGGGATCTCCCCAGCATTGCGGGTTTGCTCCTGTGTATGCCAGCGACAGTGACAGTTTGTCTGGCAGAGTCCCCTCTCCTCAGTGAGCATGGTCTTGGGTGAGCTGATGTGAGGCCCAAACTGATCTGTCTAGCCAGGAGCCAGCTCAGACCTAGACACGAGGCTGAGCTTAAGCAAACACTCTGGGGCTGTGGCTGGAGAGCTAACCTGAGTGCAGCCACTTCTGAGTGTGAGCACAGTGTGTTTAATAGAAAAGCTCTGTGTGACACACTGTGTATTTTTTGCTATGCCTTATTTTCCCAAGAGAGAAAAAAATGGCTTTATCTTCTCATTATGTTGCATTATTGCTGCTGTGTCCCTATGGGACAGAAACTCAGCTGCCATAATGTGTGGGTGCAGCAGAAGAGGGACCTGACACCAGCCATAGGTAAATCAAGTTGCTTTAGAGCAAATAGGCAATAACATGGTTGGTGTTGACTGTAAGGCAACAATAATAAACTGAACGGGTGCCACCAAAGTGGTTCTGCTGCAGTCACATCACCTTGTCTGGCCACTGAAAATACCCCAACAATAAAAACTATTCTTGTTGCTGTAATCACATTATTTTAGTCAAATCTCAGCTTTTGTTAAAAAAAAAGAAAATAAAAGGTTAGGCTCTCATCTTACAGAGCCAGAGAAAAGTTTAAAAAGTTAAGCAAATACGACCTTGCATTTCAAAAATCAGAAGTTAGTTCTTACCCAGAAAAGCAAACACCCTCCACAAATGATTGTTAAATGCTTTTATATTTTACTTTATTTTTTTAACTTTTAATTTTAAAGACTGCTTCATTATGCCAGGGCAACTGCAGTCAAGATTTTGATCACTGAAAATTGGCAGTGCTTTGTAGACTATTACACAGTCAATGAAGATGCTTCACAGCGGTTGGGAAGATCAAGATAGATATTGGATTAACCTTGTTAATTAGTGCTAAATACAAAAAGCATGTGCACGGACTGCCTTGCTAAGTTTCCATATCAGGATCAGGAGAAACTGTGCTGGTAGTCCTTCTTTTTTGTATTCTTCTTGCTACCTCTGTGCTACTGAGTGATCCAAAATATCCACTGAGTTTGCACTGCTTATACAGTTTCTTACAGTGTATATTTGTTACGAAATTTATGTTTTCTTATGCTTGCTGACTGAACTCATATTTATAGGAAAGAAAGGTCCTTTCACACCTCTACCAAGTTTAATTTTGTAAAAAGGCTCTTCTGTGGCGTCAGCAAAAACGCAGTGACATAGATATGTCTGGGACCATGCTTCAGCATTAGAGTTTATACCTTTAACGCCTTGTCTGGACATTACTTAATTACGTGAATGCAATTGTTATATTAATTGAATAGCAAATGGGTGAAATGTGATGTGAGCCATTTTTGTGCATGCTCTGCTGCCAGGTGGAAATGAGCAGCAGGGACAGAAAATGCGCATTGCTTTGGCAGGCGGGACGTTTGGGTAGGACTGCTTGCAGGGGCAGAGCCCGCTGGGGCCAGGCGGCTGGGAGCAGGCCCAGACCTGGTGCCTGTTCAGTCCTGGCACAGCCACTTGGCTGAGCTCTGCTTAAATTAGGATGTGACCGCATTTGGGGAAGTCGGCGGTGAAATTTTGCCATCAAACAGTTGACACGTAACAGAGGTGACTGCAGTTAGGAATGTTGTGATCAACAGCAGGAGATGGGTGTCTACAGAAGGGATTTGGTTTGCCAGATAGCCACTATTTAAGAGCCTCAATCAGGTTCCTGAGAGTAGTTAGGACAGACCCATAGTGAAGTGTCAAAAATACTTTTAAAAGCATTGTACTTTTTTGTCTACACCATAATTTCCCTGTGTAGTGGAGGCAATGCAGATGTACCTGCCTGACTGGAGAGCGGGGAAGCTGAATCCATACATATTTAAGAGTCTCCTTCTCATTTGGGCACCTAATGTATTCCAGCATCTCTGCACCTGAATCCATAATTCAGTGATGTTTTGAGACTGAGGCATACAGTGATCCACAACTTCTTCACACCACGGTCAGTGAAGAGGCTGTGAGCAGGTGTTGTTTTTTCCATGGTGCTTAGAAAAATGAACTCACACCCCAACCATGAGACGAATTGGTCGTAACAATAATTCCACTGATGTTAACGACAGGCTCAGCTTCTGCTGGCATTTGCACTAGCGTAACTAATAGCAGAGCTTGCTCTTTGCTCCTCTCTTGGCTGTAACCATTCAGCTCTGTTGCTGTAGGGAAGGGAAGCAATTCAGGATGGCTGGCTCATACAAGGACAATAATGATGATAGCTGTAATACTTTACACATCTTCTGTTAACAGTGCTTGTTGGCAGGAGGGAAGAGGGAGGATATGATTTCTTTAAGCAATACGTTTTTAACTGGGGAAGTATAACTGAAAAAGTGAGGTTTACCAGGAGCAAGTTAGAGTTTATTATTAATGTTGATTAGTTTTGTTCTTTCAGCTTTTAGAATATGTGTTTGAGTGATAAAGGGTGTGCATGAATGTTTATTTGATTAGAGCCAGCAATTAAGTCCAGAGGGTGGTTGCTTTTCCTTGGTGCTTTTTAATAACCAAATAATTTCTTTCCTATTGTTTCACAGACAGCCAATATGAGTTGCATCATTTAAGGCAGTTGTCTACTTCCTTGGGTTGTTTCCAATGATGTGTTGATTTCTTCCAGGCTTATTTTCTCATTTTTCTTCATGATGAGAAGTGGACTGTTGGCCTCTGATTGGAAAGAAGCTCTGAAATACCTGCCTCTGGCTTTGCTGGGAGATATATAATAATTAAAAGATGGCCAGCCCAGTTAGGTAATAGTATATAAAACACAGAATCACAGAATGGCTTGGCTTGGAAGGGACCATAAAGATCAGCTAGTTCCAATCCCCCTGCCACGAGCAGGGACACCTTCTTCTACACCAGGTTGCTCAAAGTGCTGTCCAACCTGGCCTTGAACCCTTCCAGGGAGGGGGCAGCCACAGCTTCTCTGGGCACGCCGTGCCAGGGTCTCACCATCCGCACAGCAGAGCATTTCTTTCTTATATGTGATCTGAATTCTGCCCTTTTTCAGTTTAAAACCATTACTCCTCATCCTATCCCCACACCCCCTGATAAAGAGTCCCTCCCCACCTTTCCTGTACCCCCCTTTAAGCACTGGGAGGCCGCTCTAAGGTCTCCCCAGAGCCTTCTCTTCTCCAGGCTGAACCCCCCCAACTCTCTCAGCCCGGCCTCCCAGGGGAGCTGCTCCAGCCCCCGGAGCACCTTTGTGGCCTCCTCTGGCCCCGCTTGAGCAGCTCCGTGTCCTTCTGCTGTTGGGGGCCCCCGAGCTGGACCCAGCACTGCAGGGGGGGTCTCACGAGGGTAGAGAGGGAGAACCCCCTTCCTCGCCCTGCTGGCCACACTTCTCTTGATGTAGCCCAGGACATGATTAGCTTTCTAGGCTGCAAGAGCACATTGCCGGCTCAGAGTCAGATAGCTAAGACGTGGGATAGCTAAGACGTGTTCGGTCCTGCTCTGTTTCAATCATATAAGTCACTTTGTTCCTTTTGCTGGGAGGTCCCTGCAGTTCTACTGCTTCATCTTCATTCAAAATAACCAAGAATGAAAAAGCTGAGTAAATTGAACTGGGAATCTCCATCATGCAAGGTCAACTCTCATCACATATGTCACTCCATATAGGTGTTCCAGAAGTATAAAGAACTCATTCTCATATGGAAAGTAAGCCTGATTATTTGAAACATTTTGGCCAAGA